GCCGCGATATGTATTGGCAAACTTGTTGCCAACTATTCCGGTTATCGATATATATATATATATGTATATATTTATATGATTTCCTTGGAAAAATTCGTCAACACTCGAGAGGATTAAATAAAATTTGTTTACAAGAATTGCGTACGTGTTCAGGCGAAGTGTTTAAGTGGAAAATTTAAATTCGTACCCTTCTTTTTTCTTACGGAGATAGATCTACGAAAAGATAATATATAATATAAATTATTGCGAATTTTTGAAAATAAAATTATGATTTTTGTAAAAAAAAAAATTGTAGCATAGAAAAACTTATATAATATTTCTTTTCTGTTCGCTCAAATTGCAAGTATCATAAAAGTTTCGAATACAATTTGAATATTGTTTTCAATGGAAAAGGATAAATTTCTTGTTATTTTTTCTTTTTCAGCGAAAATGTAACGAAGCGACACGTATCCATCCATCTTACTTTTACTGGAAAATTAAACGGAAAACTTTATGATAAATTTTACCATAGTACGTATTAAATTTTCCATTTACTCGGCCTGAAACAAATAATCGATCGGAATACTCGACTGTACACCGGCTATCTCTCGAGGCTAATCGAACGTTACATATCGGCACCCATTCATCGAGACTCATTCAAGGAATAGAAATGAGCTACGATCGCCCGTCACGGCTCGACGATTTCCCCCTTTTCCAAATGAATATTCCATCTGTTCCGACGGTTACTTATCGAGCAAACGCTTTAATCGCGCAACTCGCTGGCAAAGCCACGCTTTGTCATCGCGTAATTTACAACGAACCTTCGGCTCGTTCATCGATCCAACGTCTAATCAACGTCGCTTAATTATCGTTCCTCCAATGATAGATGCATCCGTTTCCAACATCTTTGGAATTCGTTATTCGATTTCGACGCTGTCTCACTATATATATATATATCTTAATTTTTCCCCCTCCTCATTCATAATTTCCGTTCGGTGGATCGTCGGATGTAAATACACAATTTCGATCACAAGACGATCACCATCTCTCGTTAATTTCTTTTTCGAATTAATAGAAACTTTATACGAAGCATTTACACGACAAATAACGTGAACATTCGAAACGTATCGAGTAAAAATTACCCAATTATCGGACGAAAGTACGCGTGTAAAAAAAAAAAGCAGCCAAGTATAATGAAAATCCTGGATCAAAAGTAGCCCGCATACCTCTAACAAACCAGGAAACCGGAAACTGATCCCGCTAATACCGCCGTGAATCCATTTAATCGAGAAGTCCTACATAATTTACATGTACCGGCCGGCGAACGAAGCGCGCATAGATCCTCCCCCAGATCTCGAAACAGCTTACATAAGCCGTGGACTGGCTTAAGCTACCTT